CACCAGATTACGAGACTACCGCTCTTAACCACTACACCACACTGGCTCTTGCCTTCATTATGGATGGATGGAGCAAACACAGAATGTAAATGCTTTTTTGTTTTCATAGTATGAACACCAACATTATGGTAGACAGGAAACTGTCTTGGACAGCCAGTGTGGTGTAGTGGTTAAGAGCGGTAGACTCGTAATCTAGGGAACCGGGTTCGCGTCTCCGCTCCTCCACATGCAGCTGCTGGGTGACCTTGGGCCAGTCACACTTCTCTGAAGTCTCTCAGCCCCACTCACCTCACAGAGTGTTTGTTGTGGGGGAGGAGGGGAAAGGAGAATGTTAGCCGCTTTGAGACTCCTGAAGGGGAGTGAAAGGCGGGATATCAAATCCAAACTCTTCTTCTTCTTCTTCTTACACCAGATTAGACTATTTATCCGTCTAGTTCAGGGGTGGATAGCCTTAGAACTGGGAGACAAATGTGGCCCTAGGTCTCTCTATCTGAATCTTCTCTATCTTTGGAGCTTTCCTCAAACCACAGCCAATGAATCTGACTGGCCACTATGAGAACAGGGTACTGGTCTTATTATTATTTTTTTAAGCAGCAAATAAATATATTCCACCATGGTTTTAATTCTAGTTGCTAGAGAAAGATTCACATACAGTACTCATGTGTTTCTCATGAATAACAATATGGTTAACAAGTTGAGGTTGCTGTGGTAACAATATTGCCACAGCTTTGGGCAACAACTTTAAGACAATATAATGCACGGGTGTCAAACACAATACACATCTTACTGGGTTGCCCCAGCCACTCTGGGCAGCTTCCAACATATATGAAAACTTTAAAAAGCTTGCCTATACAGGATTGCCTTCAGACAGCTTGGGGATTGGATAACTCCATACCCTCCAACATTTCTCCAGTGAGAACAGGAACATCTGAAGGACAAGTGGGATATTCCAGGATCAAATCAGAAACTGGGACAGCTTATCTAAATCAGGGATGTCCTTGGAAAATAGGGTCCCTTGGAGGGTCTGAGTTTGAGCAACCAACAGCAGCCATTTTGTGTTATGCCAGGAGGTAGGATCAGAACCAGTGGGTTCAAATTACAAGAAACGAGATTCTGACTAAACACCAGGAAGAACTTTCTGGCTGTAAGAGCTGTTTGAGAGTGGAACTGTTCAGAAGGTGGTGGACTCTTCTTCATGGCAGGTTTTTAAACAGAGGTTGGTTGGCCATCCGTCAGGGATTCCTTAGATGTGATTCCTGAAGCAGGATGAGAGTCTGGGCATGAGAAATCTAGATCCTAATCCATTATCGGGCTTTATGCTACGTTGGCACACAATGTCATTCACCACCACAAAATCTGGAATATAACAGAAGAAGCCAGGGCCAGAGTCAGGATTATGGGAATCTGCATAGTTCATCCCTCTCACCTTCAAGAGGTTGAGTGTGCAAGTTGTGAATTTGCCTACGCTGCTTTTGAACTAGATGCAAACGATGCCAACAAGCAACTTGATGGAACTTGCTTACTTTCCCCAGTGTATTCATTTTGCAAAATTTTGCTTTCCTGCATGAGGTGAGCTAGATCAGTCTAGCTCAGCATTCCCTAACCTACCACCCTCCAGTTGCTTTGGATTAGAAATTATAATTTTTCTCAAACAAACATGACCCATGGTCAGGGTTTATGGGAATTGTATCTTAAAGCATCTGGAGGACATCAGGTGGTACAGATGCTGGCCTTTTGTTTGTGCACAGAATATAACACCCTATGCATTTTTTTTAAAAGTATAACATATACCCTCTTCCCCAAGTTCCAGGATTGTAGGACCTATTTTATACCAGGTCAGAATATTTGTCCATCTAGAACAGTACTGCTTGCTCCTACTGGCATCAGCTCTGCAGGGTTGGAGGTAGAGAACGGTCTTTCATATCACTTACTCCTGGTCCTTTTGACTGCAGGTTCTGGTGACCTTTTGCACATAAAGCATGCATTCTAGTGCTGTGTTAAAGAGCTGCCTTGCCAGATTTATTTCTCTTTGAATGAGAGCAGTGGAGACATATGACATATTGCAGTAATTGATTTGTTTACAGATAACAGGGCAGAGCGTAAGTGGAAGCAAAGAGCGCTCCTAAAAGGCAGCAAAGCCTCAGAGAAAGAGCCTACACTCCAAAATGCTTTGGCTACAGCCAATTGATAGCACTCTCTCTTTCCGGCTGGGTACACAGCATACATTTAAAGCACATTGATCTTCCCGAATCAAGGCTTACAGTATCCCAGAAGCAGAAATGGTAACTCTGGGACTGTCCCTGGAAAACAGGGACGCCTGGAGGGGCTGGTTGCTGCAGGTCTCACTTGTTTAAATTAAGGCACCTTCATAGATTTAAAGCATTTTAAACAGTTAATGGCTCCCCCGAAGAACCCTGGGAACTATTATTTGTTAAGGGTGGTGAGCGCTGTTAGGAAACCCCCATTCCCCTCAGACAGCTACAATTCCCAGAGTCCATGCAAAGAGGGATTGATTATTAAACCACTCTGGAATTGTGGTTCTGGGCATGGAATAGGGGATCTCAGGGCCCTTAACAAAGCTCTAGCTCCCAGAATTATTTAGGGGGAGCTGCAAGTGTTTAAAGTGGAACAGTAGCTCCTTCCTTCCTTCCTTCCTTCCTTCCTTCCTTTCAACATCTTTACTGAAAATTCAAAAAGCACATAATTGTATGTGCACTAAACATGGTGAGGCGTAAATAAAAGAGAAAAGAAGAAGAAGAGAAACAGGACCCATGCAGAAGGGAAAATAAAGGGTGGAGGGGGAAAAGCCCAAAACTGTATATTTTACAAAGTTGTTATTGTACTTCACCAGATTTTAACCTATTACAGAATTTGTAAGAATGGATTCCAAATATCATTGAATTTGTCCATGGCAAGTCTGTGTTTATATGCAAGTTGTGAGTTTGTATAAGTCTTCAATCCAATCGTTGAAGGGAGACGCATTTTTATTTTTCCAATTCATCTGTATCAGTCTTTTTGCTGTAGTAAGGTCAAGGAGAGTCCACTCATATTGTCCCTTTGTAAGGTTCCATGTGCTGGGTATATAATTCAAGAGGGTATTTTGCTCTGTAAATGTAAGATTGTTCCATACAGTTCTGTTAATAGTTTCAGTTACCTTCTGCCCAAAAGCTTTCAATGTAGGACAATGAAAGGACATATGTTTTAGAAAAGCATTACCCCTGTTACATCTCCAACAGTTAGATACCTTAGTTCTTAGATAGGTAGCTCTTTGTGAACAAGGCCGTATGGTTCAGGTCATCCTATTTGCCTGCAAATGCAAGCGAAGAGCAGTTGTTTTTTAGTGTCTTAGCACAGGTGTGTCACAAGATCCTATTTGCATCCTGGCAGTAAGGAGATCCAGAAGGCACAGTTAATTTATGGACTCAGTTGTGCTGACAACGTCCCTATGCACAGAGTGGAAACCAAGCAACAACACGCGCTGCCGCAGGCCTCGGAATGGAAATGCCAGCAGATGATACCATTGACAGTGTGCCAGTGGGCATCAACGTTAACATATAAATTGCTACTGTTTCTGAAAGCATTCATCAGCTGTCTGGCAGGGGACTTGATAAGAAGAGGGTCGATGACATGCGAGCCACAAAGAAAAAGAGGCACCCTCTTGTCACACTGATGTTAGAGAGTAACTCAGAGCTGGAAAGCAGCCCTGTATCAATTATTAAGGGCATATAGAGTTCGACATCAGTGCAAGCTAGCACAGGAAATACATCTATAGTCATATGCAAAACAGAAGCTCAGATCTATTAAACCACAATGATCATTTCAGAGTCCTACCTGCTCTGAGGTCACATCTGTACCACACATTTAAAGCACATGGCTCTCCCCCTGACACCCAAGAATCTTGGGAACTATAGTTTAAGAGTGCTGGGAATTACCCCTCAGAAAGGTACAAGCTGCAGTCCTCAGGGGACTCCTACACCCCCATTTTGATTGTGTGGTACTTCTAATACCAAGTTTTCAGGTTCATTCCCTGTATGGGACCACTGTATATTCCTCCATTGCAGGGAGTTGGGCTCAATGATCCTCAGGGTCTCTTCCAACTCTATGATTGTTTAAAGCTGCAATTCTATGCATACATCCTGCGAGTAAATGACAACGTGGAACTTACTCCACAGTAGCTGTGCACAGGATTAGAATGTAAGTATTTGTGCGGGGTGTGTGGGGGGGAGCAGGGTTTCAGATATGCATTGTGAAAGTCACTATGGCAAATGTCAGAGCAAGAATGGGAGACTCGTAGTCCTCTGGATGTTGATGGAATATTCAACTTCCATCGTATCTGACTATTGGCCATGCTAGGAGGCACCAAAATTTAGAATTAGTTGGCTCTGCCTGTCGGAGGGATCCCTGCCTTTTGCCCACCAATTCCCAGGCACTACTGGTTGTAGTTCAATAACATCTGGAGCGTCTCAGGTTCCTCACATCTGATTTAGGCTATAAGTAGGACTTGCTGATCAAAAGGTTGGCGGTTCGAATCCCCACGATGGGGTGAGCTCCTGTTGCTTGGTCCCTGCTCCTGCCAACCTAGCAGTTTGAAAGCACGTCAAAGTGCAAGTAGATAAATAGGTACCGCTCCGGCAGGAAGGTAAACGGTGTTTCCGTACGCTGCTCTGGTTCACCAGAAGCGGCTTAGTCATGCTGGTCACATGATCCAGAAAAACTGTCTGCGGACAAACACTGGCTCCCTTGGCCAGTAAAGCGAGATGAGCGCTGCAACCCCAGAGTCGGCCATGACTGGACCTAATGGTCAGGGGTCCCTTTACCTTATGACTTTCCTCAAAAGGGTAAATGAGATTGAGAGAAGCTGAGTCCCCCATCTCTGCGATGGACTAAATCATGTCTCAAATTGGCCACTGTGGACACAACTGTAAAGGCTCCTCATCTCTTGCTATATATTTTTTAATAAAAAAAACTCTTTAAAATATAACACAAAACAGTACAACAACTTTCATTTTGCTAACACTTTATTTTTTCATATTAAAGCAAGCATAAGAACTATTACCAAATAACCGAAACATTGTTTTATGTAGATGAATCCGCCATTTTATTCTAATGAATGGTCTAAATGGTAAGAGTCAGTATAACCTGAGTGTTTTTGCTTTTAATAAGCCTTTGGGTTAGGGTAATTATTGTCATATGCTCAGAAACCTGGAAAGGGAAATTTAATAGGGGAGAACATGAAACAATTGTTAGCCTCGTATTCAACACAGCATTTATTCTCAAGGCTGATGAAACATTAGACACACATTTTAAACAGTGTAGTGTTCTCTAGAAGTTGTTGGATTACAACTCCCATCAGTCCCAGCAAACATTGCCAATGGAAATAAAATGATGGGTGTTGTAGTCTAACAATATCTGGACAGTACGACATTGGCTACCCCTGCCTTATGCTGTTTTGTTTTTTAAAGAAATCAAAACCAAAACTCATCACCACCACTGCTCCTAGTGCTTGTTCTGTCCCGGCCTTTTAGCCTCAGCACATCCATGACACTTCGAGCATAGACGTCGCGCAAATTAACATTGACGGTGCAATCGCTGGACATGTTCTTTGTGAGCTTCTTTAAGGCTTCACGCTGTCGGAGAGCAGCTTCCTTTATCTTCAGCGTGAAGTAACAGGCAGAAAAGCGGTCATTGATGATGGCTATCGGCAAAGCCAGAACGAGAATTCCCGACAATATACACACGAACGCCACTATCTTGCCGATGGTTGTGTCCGGCCTAATGTCTCCGTAGCCAACTGTCGTCATGGATGTCGTAGCCCACCACCAGGCACAGGGCACACTTGTGAAGGTTGTGCCATGGACACCTTGCTCGACAAAGAACTCCATGGTGGAGAAGATGGAGATGCCCACAGAGAGGAAAAGCAGGAGCATGCCGACCTCTTCATAGCACTGGGCAATGGTCATGCCCAGGGACCGCAAACCTGCAACGCAATAGAGGATTTCAGTTCAGGTCACAGCCTCTATCAGTGGTGGCTGGTGCCCCCTTCTCAGGGGCTGGACTGAGGAGACCACCCCCCATTCTCCTGAACCTTCCCAAGAACAGGAGGACTGTATAGATTTAGAACAGTGGTTTGCAGAAGGGCATAGTTCAGAGACTGCAGAGGGGAGAAGCTGGGAAATATTGGGAGAGGAACAGCAGGAAGAAGCAGCACCAGGGGAGAGACCACTGACAGACTCAGTGTCTTTGGAAAGCATTCCTGACTTTCCCTCTCCCAGGACCAGGCGTGCACTGAAGGTAGTAGAACAGAAAGCTCAGAGGCAGAAAGCTCACATTAGGTGTGACATACAATAGAAGAAACGGAGGGAGTGGACTTTACTTGGAGCAATGACATTATCCTAGTTAGAATGCATTCCTTCAGCTATCTCTGTGCATAGTGAATAAATTACTTGGTAAGAAACATTTTTTGTTTATCTGGTTCTTGGCTGCCACCATGGGAGGGATCAGATTCCCTGAAGCCTGATGCCCCTTGGACTTGTAGGGTGGATGGCTGGGATGCCAATGGCAGGTGGAACCTGCATCAATGACAGCTGAGCCCCATAATTCTAGTTTTGTCCCCATTCTCCTCCCTGCTGCAAGGGCAATAGTAAGACAAGCTAAACAGGACCAGTAATGGAGTGGGATAGAGAGGCCTTGAGCAAAGCTGTGGTCATGTGAGCTCCTGCCTTCTGAGCAGCAGAGGTTGAACTAAAGCCCACTTGGAAAGGGAGAACAAATGGTACAAATACTTCCTTAGGTCTGAGGTGGCTCAGAGGCCAAATGTGGCTCTCTAGGTCTTTCTATTGGGCCCTCAAAACTCTCCCTAGGGCACAAGCCTCCTTTCCTGGCTAGACCCTCAGTGTCCTTGCTTTGCATGCTTTTCCATGGCTAGAATGTATCCTTGACTTCTGATCAAGCCACTTGCTTGCTTGCCTGGATGGAGGACAGAGAGGTGTGCATGCAGAAACTAGCCTACTGTACAAAGGTAACATCTGCATTTATTTATCCACCCACTTTTGCCTCTGGTCCCACCCACCACTGGCATGTGGTCCTCAGGAGAGGATACAGCCTTTGGGTTGAAAAAGTGCTCTCATTTCACCCAGTATTTATTAGGGGAGGAGGCCCAATATAGCAAAAGAGGAAGGAAAATGCTTTTGGAGAGGTTGGACATGGGGTCTGAATGAATGGAACACTTCTTCCAACAAAGTCAGCCCGGCTATTCTCCCTTAATGGTTAAAACCAAAACAAAACATATTCAGTATCCTTATGTAGCTGGGAATCAACCAGCACTCAGTAGAGTAGAACAATTTCTTCCCATGCCTTGGATGCAGTACTTCTGTGTAACCCATATTAGCATTTGCCCTTTTAAAGCAGCATCACGCTGTTGGCTCATATTTAGTTTGTTGACTCAGGATCCATCTGAGTTCTGCTGAAGTCCTTAAGTAAGTGATACTGCTTACCCAGTCATCTCTCCAAATTTTGTACTTGAGAATCATTTCCTGCATGCAAGAGCTGACATTCATCTACTGTACCTCAATACTAAATGTATATGAAATAATGAATTTTAGAGGAGGATAACTGCCAACTGTATGAGCTCAGGACTATAGCTTTATTATCACCAGCCCTGGCCCCTCCTCCCCAAAAAAACCCTTTCATATCAACTAGCCTCACATCAAAACAAGATTCTGTTTGATTGAGGTACTCCACACAGCTGCAATTTATGTACATGCATGTGTAAAAACAGCCTCAACCCTCATATTTTTAGGCTGAAGTCCTATACAGACATCTGGGAGTTAGTCCCATTGAACTTGATGGGGTTTCTTCCAAGCACAAACAGGCTTGCAATGCATAGCACCTAATTTATGTCTCTTGTGAATGCCATTTTAATGGCACATTTCAGTTGTTTAAAATAAAAATTGACTGTTGTCAGGGGTTCAGGGACAGAGGCACAGGATAGGCAGGAGATGGAGAGCGATGGGGATGAATCCCAGGACAGCAAGGAAGAGGATGACAATGACTCAAGAGATTCCATGAGTCTTTCCAGCGAATCAGAGGATTCCCAGAAGGGGGCACCGGTGGTCAAGGCCAGGGGAGCCCCAGGGGGACCGTGTCAGGAGCAAGGGGCCAGCGGGGGATCCCAAAGTGGCAGCTGGGCGTCAGGACCAGCCTCCCGCCAGAGTGCAGCGAAGGGGTGGAGGTTCCAGTGTATCAGGGGAAGCAGCTCCGGCAGCAGAGAAGGGAGGGAGGTCGGAGCAAGCCACCCTCCCGGAAGGGGGGGGAGTAGTGAAGGGAGTAGTGTAACTGTCAAAAGGAAGGTTAGAGGTTGGGCGCGCGCGCCAAGTTCAAATGTAGAGGCGCGCGGAAGTACAGGGAGCCCGGAGGAGGGGCCAGGTCCCAAAGCCCGCAGGAGGGGGGAAGAGCAATCTGGGGATTCTGCGTCAGGGGAATCCAGGAGGGGCGAAACCCCAGCGGGCAGGAAGACCCTGCGGAAAAGAAAAGAGGAAGAGGTGGAGCAGCGCAAGGCTCTTAAACTGGTGCAGGGGAGGGACTGACTCAGAGGGGACTTCAACGGTCTAAGCGTAACAGACGTGGGGCTGCGCGCCTCGGATGTGAAGCAAACAATGAACTACAATAAACACTTTTGTATATAAGAAGAGATTGGCGTTGGTCTTTTGTGAGCTGAGACCTGAGGCAGCCCTGACAACTGTTTTCCATCTCAAGCCTTCTCCAAGTTTCTTCAAAGATGGAACAATTAAAGAGCTGGTGATCCATCAGTCTATGTATGGAAGATATGACATAAAAACAATATGCCGTAGTGTCAAGATGTGTCAAGTTAGCACTTTCTGTAACTTATGCTAGTCTGGTGGAGTAGCAAGTATAACTTGCCTGCAGGAGTGGTATCATGTTCTAACACAATACATGGAACACCAGGATGCATTGTGGGTAGAAGTCCTCACCATAAGAGTTCATTGCCATTTTGCCCCGGCTTGGATACCAGCAAGTTTCTTCTGCCCTTACTCAATCTCATTATTCCTCATTGTCTCTTTAAATAAATTCTCACCTCACCTCCTATGATGAGTAAAAACTGATTCCAAGGGACCAGCAAGGAAAGATGACTCTCTTATCTTTCATGGCACCCGTGACTAACATAGATCACATATGTTATATGGACATAAAAGTTTCTTTCCTCTCTCTTTCTTCCTGCAATATGTTACAAACTGGAATGATTCTGAAAATAAAAGAAATTACAGAAGCTAGAAGGCCACTGCTTTGTTAACAGTTCAATGATGCTCAGTTTATTTAATGAACCTATTGTTAGGAGGTTGTCTCCTGGAAGCTGGCGTCTTTTCTGAATTAGATACCCAGAGGTTGGCTGCAATGCTGGAAATGTGTGAGAGAAATAAATATGTGATTGAGTGTTTCAGTATCTTTAACAGTTTTACATTGTTTTCTGAGACTCCTGGAACTTATGAAGCAGCTATATACATTCAGCAAATAAAACAGGTAAAGTAAGTGAAAGGTTTTTTTGGAAGCCCAAATCAGATGAAAATGGGGGCACAGTTTTTTTGGGGGGGTTGCCCTATCTTCTGCCATGTATATATTACAAAATGAAGCCTTCAGTGCGCTGCCAACTAAAGGAAACTGATCTGGGATTTCTCTCCATTTGAGGAAGTGGGGAACATGTTGCAACAACAGATTCATCTGAGGCAACATTTGATCCCATCAGCTGCAAACATAGCCTTGCTGCTATGACTTTCCAATCTGATCTGTTCAAGAATAAAAGAAGCAAACAGAATATTATAAATTCAGAATAGCTGTGTTCATATAGGCAACCCCTTCTAGGCAAATGTTTGCAGATATGAATCCAGTTTTATTTTGAATAGTAATGCAATGCTGCTAGCAAGCCATCTCTGACCCTTGCCAGTTTACTCACTGTTGACAATGAAATGGGCAGGCAACCAAATTAGCTTATATAGCACTAATAGGGGGGTGATGAAAAGGTTAGGAGAAGTGATTAGAGGGAGTTTCTAGCATGACGGTCCAATTAACCTGTGTTGGGGTAATAACATTATTTCTGGACTGTACCACTTCAGGATGCTAACATGATTGGATACTCTCTCTCTCTCTCTCTCTCACACACACACACACACACCAAAACCCCCAAACAAGTCAAATTCCCTGAACAGAGAAAACTAGATGCTGCAGCGAAGGTTTTAGGCCAGTCTTCTTCCTAACATGTTAATTTTTCTGCATGTAGGGATTTTTCTTCTGTTGTTGTACGAAGGAGAATTCAGTCCTGTAATTCCTGCTGCCCCCTACTACTATTGGTGCAGTTCAGAAACAGGTTTGTTCCTTGTAAGAACTAGGCCTCAGACTAGGGGTGAGGAACCAGTTGCCCTTCAAATGTTGCTGGGTTACAACTCCCATCATCCCTGGCAGAGGCTGATGGGACTCCATCAACAACTAGAAGGGTCACAGGCTTCCCACCCTGGCAACCTAAAAATCATGAAGATTTGCCTATTCAGCTTCTCAGAACTGTAGGACCTCAGGGCAGATTTACATAGTTTTCTAGAGGGAGATGTCACCCTGAGGTGAACTGGTCCCCTCTGCTTAATTCTCCCACAATTGTGGGATACAGAAAAGATTCAGTTTCCTGTGGAAAGTGAGGCTTGCTAAGAAGGCACTAGAGCATGAGACTCTTAATCTGAGAGCTATGGGTCAAGCTCCATGTTGGGTGAAAAATTCCAGCATTGCAAAAGGTTGGACTAGATGGTCCTCATGGTCTCTTCCAACTCTTATGATGGAAGGTCCTAGGAAGGGTACCATAGCTCTGTGGTAGAGCTTCTCTTTTGCATGCAAAAGATCCTTGGTTCAATGCCCAGAATCTCTTGTTAGAAGGATCAAATGGCAGGAAAGACCTCTGCTTTTGATCCTGGAGAGGCACTGCTGGGCAAAGTAGACTATACTGAGGGAGATCGGCAGATAGCATCACCTGGTTTAAGGCAGCTTTCAGACAAGGGACTGTGTCCATCAGATGACAGAGGAAGCACTGTTGAAATTAGCCATTGCGGTGACAGAGTAAGTCGATAAACTGAAAGGAATGGAATTATGAAATACCCTCTCTCTGGCCACATTCACACAATATATTTAAAGTACTATGATACTACCAGTGCTTCTCTCTCTCCCTGGGGGTACTCAAGGGTACGGCAGTACCAGCACATTTCCCTCCCCCAAATGTTAAAAGTGTGGCACTTACTTCATGGTGAGTACCCACACACATACACCCTACACACACACAAAAGCACTGGATACCACTTTTAAACAGTTATGGCTTCCCCAAAGACTTCTGGGAGCTGTAGTTTGTGCTGAGAGTTGTTAGGAGACCCCTGTTCCCCATGAAGAGTGATGGACTGTTAAACCTATCTGGGATATGTACAGTCACTTGCTTGCCTTGGAAATGATTCTGGGGGAAGGGTCTGTCTGGAGTTTGGTGGCTACAAAGTTTAGCTTGCAACATGGGACCAGTCTCATGTTGTGGGCCTCTGCTCATATGGAAGTCAGCTTCTCATCTGAGTTTCTTAAAATCGCCACCCCCCTTAGGTAGAACCACAAAATAATCAATTTCCCCAAGAGTTTCCTACACCATGTAGATTTACCTGTTGAATGCCGGCCCAACTTCAGCATGCGCAGACCCCTCAGCAGCCTTAACACCTGAACAATACGTCCCATGTTTTCCAGCTCCTGGGAGCTGTGTCTGCCACGCAAGCTCTCCACTACCAGTGTGATGTAGAAGGGCAAAATGGCCAGCAGGTCTATGATGTTTGCTATATTCCGTATGAAGTAGAATTTCTTCTGTGCGCACAGGAAACGCAGGGCAAACTCTCCTGTGAACCAGGCAATACACACATACTCCAGGATGTCAAGGAGGTGTGGTGGCAGCCAGCTCAGTTCTACAGAGATGAGGGCCATGTTGGCAATAGAGATGATGACAAAGGCCATGGAGATGGTGCCAAAAGTCCTGGCAGCGACAGAAGACCCAGGTTTTTCCAATACCTCCCAAAGCTTCTGCCTGAATCTGGGGCAGAGGCTCCCGGAGAAGTCCTCTTCCTCTTCCTGGGCATCAAATGCTTCAGCTTCTTTCTTGATATCCAAGGCTTCGCTCAGTTCCTTCCTCCTGAAGTACCTGTGCAGGGCAGCGAAGCACAAAATGTGACACTATACCTCATCTGAAATGAATGCAAACACTTGTGGCAGCACGTGCACCACCACAACCAACTTCAATTACAAATGCAAAAAGACAGCGGCCACTGACTTCAAAGTGTGCTCTTGTGAACATCAGAGCTGTAAAGCCGGATGATCAGCAAAAGGGACAAACCTAGAATCATCCTCAACTCCTCCGTGCTACACATCAAGTCTGCCTTAAAAACAGGGGTGGCTAACCAGTGGCCCTCCAGGTGTCTTGGACTACAACTCTCATCAGCTCCAACCAGTATGGCTAATTGGCAGGGCTGATGGGAGTTGTAGCTCATCAACATCCAGATTGCCACAAGCTAGCTGTCCTTGCTTTAGATCACACATTAATTTAATCCCAGGAGGAACCTGTTTCAAGGTTACATTAGCCAGCCTCAGCCCAGTATACCTGAATGAGTGTCTCCACTCCCATTGTTCAGCTCCGAGGGCCTTCTGATGGTTCCCTCACTGCAAGAAGTGAGGTCACAGGGAACCAGGCAGAGGGCCTTCTCAGTAGTGACGCCTGCCCTGTGGAAGGCCCTCCCACCAGATGTCAAGGAAATAAACAACTATCTGACTTTTAGAAGACATCTGAAGGCAGCCCTGGTCAGGGAAGATTTTAATGTTTGAAGTTTTATTCTGTTTAATATTCCATTGGGAGCACCCAGAGTGGCTGGGGTATAAATAATAAAGTATTAGTAGTAGTAGTAGTAGTAGTAGTAGTGGTAGTAGTATACCCAGTGATTTTTTTTCTAGAAAAAACTGTTGGAGTTGCTCCCCACAACCCCAACTTCCACCCCCTTTCCAAGTACACAAGCAACTGGGTTACTTCAATACCAAACTCAACCACTGCCATAATTTTCTGTCCAGCTGCTGCCTTGCCTAGGTGGCAGCAATCCACATCAGTGGCACCCAGGCCACCACCTCATCTTAATTCCCTTCATCTGTGCTTACCTCACCTCTCCCCAACTGCATAATTAATCTACAACGCCCTACTGAAGCCTTCCCCAGCCCTACTGGATTTGGGCCCATGGCCCCATCAATTACTCACCTGTCCCTGCAGCAAGAGTCAATGCTGAGCTCATCCAGCCCCCAATACTGGATCTCCTGCAGGAAGGAAAGTGCACAGAGCTGATCCATCACGTGCAGCCGGCCCGTCTGGTAATAATTATGGATGTAACTAAATGCCTGAGAGCTCCGATCAAAGAAATATTCATTCTCTACCAAATTGGCATCATCGCAGAGATCCAGGAGGCTGGAGGCAACGTCCCGGGCAGCTGACACCACTACAGCCAGCTTGCCCAGGCGGGTGTCCGGGTAGCAGCACAGCTTTTTCTGGGACAGCACAAAGCGGGCCCCTCCCACATTGACTGTGATGCAGTCCAAGGATGGGGCCACCGGTCGCAGCAAGGTTCCTGGCTCCTCCTCGCTGCAGAAGACACTGGACTCCACAGATCCAAAGGACGTGCTCTCACCCAGCTCCTCTCCAGATGCTCCTGAAGAAAGGGACAGGCAGCAAGGAGGGGACTTCATTCTTCAGCTGCCAGAGGCAGCCTTCTCTCTCCTAGAGAAAATGACACATGCAAGTCAAAGAGCCCATGCTGGGGCAAAGCAACAGAATGAACAATTATGTGTCGTTGCTTGCAGTTTCCTCAATTCCTCATGTAGCACTTTGTCTGCAAGATCTGCAGTGGCTGCCAATCTGCTACTGGGTCAAGATTTTGGTGCTGACATACAAGGCCCTATGCAGCTCAGATGCAGTCTGCCTGAGAGATCGTGTCCTCCCTAAAAGAGGGCATGTCTTGCAGTGAGACCTGGAGACTGACCTCCTGGTTGTGGGTGGGTCTACTGGATAGCCACAACACCCAATTGGTAGGTTCCTCATTGCTGGGTGTAATCTGGCCAATGGTGCGCAGTCTAAATGGATCAAGGGGCCTATATAAACCCATGCATGTGTCCCAGAGCTTCCTCTTTCAGCTCCTGCATCAGAACACCTGCCCACCTCTCCCTAATTTTAGGGCATTTTGCGATTGACCTTGCTGTGCCGTCGTGTGTCATCTGTCGTTGGGACAGGGGCACAGCAGGAATTTTCCCCCACTTGGCTGATTGGCTGTGGCCATTTGGGTTTCATCTGCCGCATAGCAAATCGTCACAACTTGTAAGGTTGCGCATAGGCCCTGGTTCATGTGATGGGGTGGGAGAACGGTCTTGCCATCCCTATGTGAAGGGTATTCTGTTAAAGGAATCCAGAGCCTCAACTTGGTTTGGTCAACCCCCAAAAGGGGGTTGTGCCCATGCCTGAGTCCAGGGGAGCATCTGGGGAGTGAACAGAGTCTGTTCCCAGGCTTTTCACCTGCCTCAGGTGTTCACCCTTGGCTGACCTATGATAGAGCTCTGGATCAGCACTACCTGCAAGGGTGTAGGGAGCTTGTTGAACCAGAGCCTATGCAACCACTCACTTTTCTGTAATCAATAAAGTTGTGGCCTAAATTCGGCCAAAAACTAAAACTAAAATTTGAGTTAAATGTGTCTCTATTTAAGGCGGAGGTCTCTGAGCCTGATCACGCAAATCACCTTACCCGCTCACATACCCACCAAATCACTATGTTCTACAAAAGAGTACCTAAATTATCAGAAGCCCATTCCCCAGTAACTCAGAGCAGGGCCTTCTCTGTGTCTGGCCCTGTTTTGTGGAACTGCATCCTTGTTGAGATACAACAAACACCCACTATTTGTAGTTTCTGGAAACTGTGGAAGACATTTTTGTTTCAACAAGTCTTTCCGGCTGGATGTTGTGGTTTTTAAATTTCTCTCACCCTTTGATGCTTTTTAAAATTGGCTTGCATCCAATGCTGCAACAGAATAACCCATTCCTCACTGCACAGTACAGATTTCAGGATCAGAAGAAATGAAGGGTTTTCTTTTAAGGTGAGGGTGTGTGTGTTAGTGCGTGCTAGCCACTATGGTTGCAGAAATAAATAAACAAAGTCTAGTAGGATATCAAGTTGCTCAGGTTTGTATCTTCTATGTCCTTTCCTGTAGTAAATAGAACCAACTGACCACTAACCATAAGGTTTGAGATCCAAATACAGTGGTACCTCGGTTAAGTACTTAATTCGTTCCGCAGGTCCATTCTTAACCTGAAACTGTTCTAAAACAGTTGAAGCACCACTTTAGCTAATGGGGCCTCCTGCTGCCGCCGCGCCGCCAGAGCACGATTTCTGTTCTCATCCTGAAGCAAAGTTCTTAACCTGAGGTACTATTTCTGGTTTAGCGGAGTCTGTAACTTGAAGCGTATGTAACCTGAAGCGTATGTAACCTGAGGTACCACCGTATTTGAAATATATAAATATTGTTCCGTCTCATAATATAATCCCTCTGGGTATAGAATGTGGAGGGGTTTTTTTTTGCAGCAGTTACAGGTTACTCAAAGTCGGTATGGAACCATAAGATACTAGATATGAAAGTAACTTTTTTAATGACTAAATGTCCAACACAGCAGGACAGGTTAAGCAGAGATGCAGCACAAAACCGGTTTCATGGGAGCTAAGTCCGGCACTCTTTCCACTACTAATAGCAGTGGCTGCCTATGAGCAACCAAGCCAGTTTTAAGGTTCTGCTACTTACATACAAAGTCCTAAATAAATCTGGACACGGTTACCTGAAAAACCATCTTTCTCCCCACTGTAAGGGCACTACAATCAGTGAATGGAACCTGGTTAGATTTCTCACAGCCTGATGATTATTGGGCTTTTTCACTGGCAGCACCAGTGTTGGGGAATGCCCTCATTGCTGAAATATGAGAGGCTCCATCAATATTGGCATTCCGCCAGCCCCTGAAGACACACCTGTTTAAGTACGCAATCCCCTAAACTGAACTTCTGATTTTATTGTTTTAACTGTTTTACCAGTTGTGCTAGCTCCTATATTGTACATCCTAATTAAGGATGTTGTAAAGTCCCAATGGAATTGTTACTCCCAAATGGAATTTTAATTATGCAATGCTTTTATACTTGATTTTATAGTTGTAAACTGCTTGGAAGCCTTTTGGGTGGATAAGCAGTATATAAACAAATAAAGATCAGCGACTCCCATTGCCCATTCACCATAATAGCTGGGGCTGATGGGAGTTGGAGTTCTGCAAAATTTGGAGGACCAGAGATTTCCCATTCTGATCCTTCTACACTACCTGGTTCTCAGCTTGTACAGCATGCTAGAGCCTAGGAGAACAAGGTACCTTACCAGGTGGCTGCTTGCATAACAAAAAATGATGACTGTCCTTCCCGTTATTATTCTGAACCCAAAGCAACTTCTGGGAAATGCTTCACTAAAAGCACAAGTGCAGAGAAGTTGCATGCCATAACATTTAGGGATGACCACTCACGAGATCTCTTGAAACTGCTTAGCAATCCCTTGCAGTTAAAAATAAGACAGCTCATTATTACTGGTTCTATTGGCCGGCAATCAAAACAATGGCTAATGCACACTTTAGGTTTCCTCACTGGAATTTTGTTTAATATGAGGCAGTTTCCTTTTCAACATCCAGGCTGCAAGCCTCTGCACACTTATCTAGGAATAAGCCCTATTAAACACAACAGGACTTGCTTCTTCCATGGATTTTTCAATTAACCTTGGCAAGGAACTGGCAAGGAACAGGAGCTGCAATTTACATCCGTGGCACTTTAAAAATTAAAACAAATGCGCCAATTAGTCCTTCACATTCTCTACCCATTCTGTAGATTACACAGTGTTCTCTCTTTTTTGAGTGTGTGTGTGGGTTTTTTGGTTGGTATGTCCATCCCTTAGTGCAACTTTAGATAGGTAAAGGTAAAGGTACCCCTGACCATTAGGTCCAGTCGCAGATGACTCTGGGGTTACGGCGCTCATCTTGCTCTATAGGCTGAGGGAGCCAGCGTTTGTCTGCAGACAGCTTCCAGGTCATGTGGCCAGCATGACTAAGCCGCTTCTGGCAAACCAGAGCAGCGCACGGAAACACCGTTTACCTTCCCGCTGGAGCGGTACCTATTTATCTACTTGCACTTGACGTGCTTTCGAACTGCTAGGTAGGCAGGAGCTGGGACCGAACAACGGGAGCTCACCCCGTCGTGGGGATTCAAACCGCCGACCTTCTGATCGGCAAGCCCAAAAGGCTCAGTGGTTTAGACCACAGTGCCACCCGCGTCCCGTGCAACTTTAGATACTTCATGATTATTAGTGCAACAATTAAAAACTACTTAATAATAAACTGCAGCATCAAATACTATGCAGCAGCAATAATAATAATTAGTGCAGCATTAAATAAATGTGCATTTATATGCTAATAAAATGTGCATTTTAATCAGCATATCCCTTCATCAGTTTATATCACCAGCCTACCAATTGTGTTTTGTTTCTCCAAGAATCTTAAAAATAAGCAACTGGCGAGAACACAGGAAGCTGTCTTACACTGAGTCCAACCTTTTGTCCATCTAGCTTAGCATTATCTATGCCAAGTAGCAGCAGCTCTGCAGGGTTTCAGGCAAGGGACATTTCGAACCCTATCTTGAGATGCCAGGGATTGAATCTCAGAACTTTTGCATGCAAGGCAGATGCTTCAGCAGTGAGTTTTATTAATAATAATTACTATTATTATACACAGCTGTGAGGCAATTCACAATGTCTTAATTTAATTATCATTACATGCATTTATACCCCACCTGTCCTCAAGGTGCTATACACAGACCACACTGCTTTCCCCGTTTTATCCTTACAACAACCACCACCACCCTGTAAGGTAGGTTAGCTTGAGAGTGTGGGACTGGCACGAGGTCAGAGCATGGATCTCCTTAGTCCAAGTCCAACACTCCGCCCAAACACCAGGTCAATAATCATCCACCAACACCCCTGTGATACCTCCATCAGTAGAGCATGAGATGCTTAATCCCAGGGTTGTGGGTTTGAGCCCCACATTGGGCAAAAGATTCCTGCACTAGTCGGCTTTGTGGTCCCTTCCAACTCTGCAGTTCTGTGATTCAGCCCCACACTCCTCTGCACGTTTACTTGGAAGCAAGTTCCACTGATTTTAATAAGACTTGCTCTGTCTTTGCAAGAACACAAAAGACGTGAACGCCAAATGGCATTGGATCCATCATCTCAAAACCAAGTGTTAACGCTGAAAACCAGCAAATTATTATTTTTTAAACAAAAACCCAGAGTATGTAGGACGTTAAAGATAGATGAGCCTGCAATCCCATGCATACTTACCTGCAAGTAAGCCTCATTCAACACAATGACGCTTACTTCCGAGTAAGCATGCATAAGGTTGCTCCGTCGAAGACCCCGCCGAATCCCCGCGAAATAAACCCAAGAAGCGCGACACACGGAAGCAACTCGGATGGATTGACAGGAGCTCACCTATTCCAGCCAGGCATCGCCTTCAAGGTGCAAGAGCCACGCCCCCTTACCTGCCTCCACTCGTGCTGCTCTGGGCACATCGCAGGGCTACAGCTCTCCGCGCCTTCCCCGGCTGGCGCTCGCCTTTAAGGGCGGAAGGCTCGCCAGCTCCGCGCTTCTCTGCGCACAAGCGCGCTCTGCCGCCGGCGCCCGCAGCTCGCCGACTTCTGGGCAGCGCTTCTTGGTTAGGCGCGTGAGCAGGCGCACGAGCAAATCAGAG